GGGTTTCTTAAGTTTAATCTGTGTGTAAGTCAGACCTGGCGTCCAGATTCAGCCGCTGTTGAAACTGATCAGTTTCAGCAGCAGCTGAATCTGGACTCCAGTTCCGACTTACATACAGATTCAACTTAAGAACAAACCTACAGTCCCTATCTTGTACGTAACCTGGGGACTGCCTGTATTTCCCTCTGACCTGCAGAGCACAACCCAGACATCAGTGTACAGAGATGGATGTTAGGAATGTTATGCTCCATAGCATATCAGCAAAGCTTTATACATTGTGCGGTACCATAGGATAATCAGTAAAACTCTGTACATTGTGTTCTATAGTATAGTAACTGTTAATCTCTATTTATGACTGCAAACTCATTCCAGCTTTAGATAATATCTGGCAATGAGTATAATGGGAAAGATGCTATGAATGCAGTCTAAGATTATCTCAAAGTTAAATTGATGGAAGGCTGAGATAATGTGTCCTTTTTTTCTCTGTATTGCCTGTGCACGTACTGATTTGAAAGAGTAGGTCCCCAGAGCTCGCAGCTATTTCAAGACTGTTCTTTTTTAAAGCATGTAAAATGTACTATTTCCAAGTCTTCTATTTCTATATAATGCATATGTCTAGTCATAGAAGGATAATACACTCTGTATAAATCTGTGTTTTGTCAGTGCATTCACTTGCTTTTTCCATTAGTGTGTGAGGGAAATGAATCACACAATATCAGAAATCAAGAAGAAAATAAAAAAATGCTAACTGTTCTGTAACGCTGTGCTGATTTGAAATGTTGACAGTGTGGCTATTGATCTTGTAAAACTACAAAGCTAGATTAGATTAACTTTAAAACAACTTTCTAAAAACATGAACGTTAAAATACCCTATTTTTCATAAAAGAAGAATTCCCCACTGACCCAGAAAACAACAGCCATTCAGAGCTATTGCCCGAATCTGCAGTCCTTGCTCACTCAGGTTTTCCTTTGAGTCCCAGGTGAGTAAGGATTGAACAGGGACAGCAGGATTTGGCCCAGATACTGATATGTAATTGCATAATGTAATTGTACAGCATGATGCCGGTCGGGGGATTGGAACAATTTTTATAATGGGGGTATTGAGAGTCATTGAATCAAACTGTAAGCCAGGTATGTAATGGAAATCCCTTCAAGCCAGAGGGTGTGGCAGCACCCCTGCATCTTTAGCTCCAATGTGCATGATGGTGGAGAATCAAGCTGGAGTGCTCAACACTGAGTGGTTGGGGCTATGTACACATGTGGACAGGATGCCTACACACATAAATTAACTAAACAGACTTAACAGACAGGGTACGTCTATACTTGCTCCCTAGTTTGAACTAGGGCTGCAAATGTAGGTGACCAAAATTGCTAATGAAGCGCGGGATTTAAATATCCCGCGCTTCATTAGCATGATCTCGCTGGCACGTTACTCCGCTCAACAGCTGTTTCGAACATGAAAGTGCGTGCCGGGACACGTTATTTCAGACCAAACCCCATTTGTTTGAACTAACATTACTCCTCATTTTTGGAGGAGTGACATTAGTTTGAACCAAGGGGTTTGGTTCGAACTAACGCATCCCAGCATGCACTTTCACATTCAAAACAGCTGTTGAGCAGAGTAATGCGCCAGAGAGATCATGCTAATGAAGCATGGGATATTTAAATCTCCGCTTCATTAGCAATTTCGGTCACCTACATTTACATCCCTAGTTCAAGCTAGGGAGCAAGTGTAGATTTACCCACACAGCTAGTCACCATTTCAAATGAAATTGGATAAAATAACTGTTTGCTATCATATTTGTCCACACTAGGTTTTTATAAATCATCAGGGTACTTACTGAAGTTTTCACAAGTGGTACGACAAATCTCGAACTCTCATTTGTAGGCAAAACTCTTGTTCACTTGACTGAGTTTGGGGCTTAGTACAGATTTCTCTCTCTCACGCACATATATGTGCGTGCACATATACAAAGCACTGCCAGCACAGTGACTGCATTGCCACTACTCTAGCTCATGGGCTGCATTAGAAGACATTGCTTGCTTTGCTCTCACTCCCAGTTACTTGCTTTGCCCATGTTGCTTGCTTTAGTCACATAGGTTATCAAACCTACTGGTATTTGTCTGATCTCTGGCCCCACTGCTCTGTCTCGGAGACAGCAACTGCAAAGTATAACTGCAAGAGGTAAAGATTCCCATTTACGGCCTCTCCATAGCTAGATGCCCTTCCCTCCCACATCTTGAAGTTCTGCTAAAAAGTTCACTCCTTTTGTGCCTGTTTAGTGGGGGGAGGATCTTCCCCTTAAGGTCAGGGTTTCAAAAATCACTCGCACCATCAAACTACATAAAGCACAGTTGGGTATGAAAACTGAGACTGGGTCAACATATCCAGATGTGCAAAGACAAGGGTATGTGTTTTTGAATTAGCGTCCTGGTGTCCAGGCATATGTACTTTTTGCTGCCACTGTTCAATTTGCATGTTTGTCATTGCTCTCACACAATGAATATAACGAAGCAGCTCAAAATTGCTTTTCATTACATAACATATCGCAACTAAATTAAGCGTGGATTTTGTAATGGTCATGCACTAAAACAGTGGCTATTGCATTTTGTTGACAGAAAGGGCTTCAAAATACTGTGATGAAACAGGAAATTGGTTCCGACATCCAGAGAGCAATCGGACTTGGTCCAACTATACACTGTGTAATTCCTTCACCTCTGAAAAATTGAAGGTAGGTCCTGATTAACATTTCAGCTTTTCCTGAGTCTTTTGTTGAGCTAGGCCAACAGCAAGTTATCTGTGATAAATGTATACGATCTAAAATGTAGCCAGATTTAGTGCAGATTAGCTGAAGTCTTGACAATGTAAGAGATGATCCAATTGCTTATTTTTTGCATACTTCCACCAAGGTATGTTTTTACCAAGTATTTTAAATTTTATATTGGCAAGCATATGAATTCTATGGCTTTTAAAGGGAAGCATCATCTTCAATCATTATTATATTTCAGTGGACTACAGGCAGTCCCCGGGTTACGTACAAGATAGGGACTGTAGGTTTGTTCTTAAGTTGAATCTGTATGTAAGTCGGAACTGGCGTCCAGATTCAGACACTGCTGAAACTGACCGCCAGTTCTGACTTACATACAGAATCAACTTAAGAACCCCAGGCGTCCCCAAGTCAGCTGCTGCTGAAACTGATCAGCAGCTGATTCCAGGAAGCCCGGGGCAGAGCAACTCTGCCTGGGGCTTTCTGTAGTCAGCGCTGGTCAGTTTCAGCAGCGGGTGACTTGGGGACGCCTGGGGCAGAGCAACTGGGGTGCTGCAGGGTTGGTCTAGTAGCACCGAGGAGCAGTGCTGCAGGATCAACCCC